CTCCTTGGCCGGGCCGCGGCGCTCGGGCTCCAGCGCCAGCAGCCGCTGGAACATGCGCAGCGCGGGCTCGGTGAAGCGGCGCCACTGCGAGGGCAGCCCGGGCAGGCGGCCTCGCTGCCAGCGCACGAACTCCTCGAAGAACGCGTCGGCCCCGGACGCCGCCTCCCACGGGAAGTTGCCAGTGAGCACGCAGAAGATGAGCACGCCGAAGGCCCACACGTCCACACCCGTGTCCACCGCGAAGCCGTCGGCGCGGCCCGCCTGGCACACCTCGGGCGCCGTGTAGGGGATGGTGCCGCTCACGCGCTTCACGCGGCAGCCCACGCGGCGCGTCATGCCGAAGTCCGCCAGCTTCACGCGGCGGCACTCACGGTCAAAGAGCAGCACGTTTTCGGGCTTGATGTCGCGGTGCACCAGCTGCCGCCCATGCATGAAGTCCAGCGCCAGGCCCAGCTGCTGTACGCAGCGCTTCACGGTGTCCTCGGGCAGCCCCACCTGTCACCAGCACACAGGGGCCACACTCAGGGTGAGGGATACGCCAGGCTCAGAGGCCCTGCCCTCCCCTGTGGCCGGCCCTTCCAGTCTGGTCCTCTCCCGCCCCTTGTCTGCCTGAACAGCTTTGGTCCCGCCTGCCCCCTATATGGCCAAATGGAACGCAGCGACTGGGTACTGCGATAATCCTGCTCTGGCGTCGCCGCTTCATGCAAACCTCACAATGAGGGCCACTAGGCGACTGCTTTGGCGGGATGTGAGGTCCGAGAGGCCATGGCCACCCAGAGCCCTCTGCCCGCCATCCTCCCCACTCACCTTGCTCCAGGGCCATCTCCTGTCCTGGGCAACTTCAAAGGGGGCTGCTGCGGCCGCTCCTGCCCCTCTGCTTCTTTCAGAGCACTCACCTCAGCCTGCGGTTAACTGCCTTGCCCTGGAGTACTTTCCCCACTAAGGCAAGAGCAGAACCTTAGTTCTTCAGCTCCTGCCACAGTGACTGATACACACTAGGCGCCGTTTCCTCAGCTCACCCTCTGGGGCCCCAAACACCACCTCCCAGTCACCACCTCAAATACCTGGGGAGGGATGATGTCAAACAGGTCCCCAGCAGGCGCATACTCCTGGGCGAAGACGTAGCAGTCTTCTGTCTCGAAGACCACGTCGAAGATCTTGATGATGAAGGGGCTGGAGGACAGGCTGTTGGTGATGCTGACCTCCCGCAGAAAGTTCTTCAGCTTTGTTTTGCTCTTGTTTACAAACTTCAGCGCCATTTTTGTGCCTGGCAGGGGCCATAGCAACCGGGTGAGGGTCTGTCTCTGCCTGTAACGCATACCTACCCCTGTCCGTGGCCAGCCTCAGCAGCCATGCTTACCCTCACCTCTCACCTCGGAGCTCGGAAACAGCCCAGGAAGAACCAAGACCACAGGGTGGGGCCCAACAGGCTACACGTACACACACTGGGTCTTCCATGCCAGCATGTGGCCCTCCAGGGGGGTAGTCCCCAGGGCCTATGCCCTGGCCCTGCTCTCACTTCCCTGCCATACTATATACTTCTTTGTCTTGTTGGTGCCCATGGCTCTCTGAGCCCAGCATCCTAGCTTGGGCCCCACTGTGCCTCCCAAGTCCAGCACATAGTAGGTGCTCAGCCAGTGTTAGTTAAACGGAGGAAGGAAGAATGTGTATTCATGCTGGTGCTTAGCAGCTTCCATGAGGCACTGACGCTTCACAGGCCCCGCCAGCATTTCACATCCACGGCTTGCGCTTCGCAGCGGCTCTCTCAGGCCGGCACCAGAGCTTCCCAAACAGGACACTGAGACACAGTGAGCCTTAGCTGGCAGAGACCTCTGCCCCGGTATGCACGGCTGCCTGGAACTCACACAACCCCTGCCCAGCTGGCTGAGTGGGCGTCACGGTGAGCCCATGCTATGGTGGGCATCAAGCCTGCTAGGCAAGCAAGGCGGCTCTGGAGCTGATCCCAGGGTGTCCCCCCAGTTCACAGCCCATGTGGCTGCATGGCCCTGGTTGTTATGGCGCATACCTGGACATCCCCCAGAGCCTCCTGTGCTGATCGGTGGGGCATTATTGGAGGTGGCTGCATCTAGGTTAGACGATGCTGCAGTTCACAGTGTGATGCTAGGATTAAGAGCGCCCACACTGGGTGTGCGTGCCACCCACCCTAACAGAGCATAAGCGACAGAAACAGGGTGCTGCTGCTTGTCTTTTGCTGACTCCTGCCTGCTCTGTAATGCCCCTCCTCCATGTGCTGCCCTGCCTTGGAGCCAGCCTATTATGGACTGAGACCTCTAGAAACTATGAGCCAAAGTAAATCTTTCCAGGCCGGAGATATAGTTCAGTGGCACAGTGCTTGCCTGGCAAGTGCAAGGTCCTGAGTTTGATTCCTGGCACTAAATAAATAAACCTTTCCTCTTTTAACTTTAGGTGTTGACCATTTTGCCTCAGCAATGAGAAAAGTAACCAAGGCCCTGGTGAGGTGGTGGAATGTCTTGGTTCTGGTGTCCTCATCAGAGAAAAGGAGGTGGCCACTCTGGCCTCCTAGGGCCATTTCCCACTACCTATAAGCATGGTGCCTTGGTCCTGAGGACTCACCTGCACCCCTGTCCACCTCCCAAGGGTCACCTGTCATTGACTCACTCCAAGCACAAGCACTAGTCCTGCCTCTCCTGAGCTCCAGAGGTCCCTGGGGCATCCCAGATGGCCCCACAGCAGCCCACCCTACAGTCAGGTCAGTACTGCCCTCTCCACTTGACCCTCTGCCTCTCCCCCTTTGCACCCTCCTGATCCCCAATAGAGAGGCCTGGCGCTAGCTTAACATTCTCCCACCCTGAGGACACTCACCTGTACCCTTGTAGGACACCAGGTCAACCTTCCCGTAGGTGCCTTTGCCTAGTTCCCTGACAAGTTCATAGTGCTTGGTGACATCACTGGCAGCCAGTGTGCGGAGGGTCAGCGCCTGCATGTCTTCTGTGAGGAGGGGCACGCCTGCTCCCGGCCCAGGGGCAGTCCCCAGCCCACAGCAGGGCAGGGAGTGGGGTGGCTCGGGCTCTGGGCAGCCCACGCTCATCTTCTCCCTGTTGTGGGCAGTGGGACATGAAGAGTGACGTTGGGCTAGGTCCCCCTCCTCCACCTACCCTCTGCCTCCCAGCACCCAGGAAACTCCCAGCTGAGCCCCATGCCAGGTGCAAGATGACCACAAGGGGGCAACAGTTCTCTTGGCTTCAGAGCTGAGGCTTCCCAGCCTAGGCAGAAGCCATTCAGGGTCTCCTTCTACATCTGTGCACCCCTGTTGGCCGGTCTCCTGCTGTCATCCGCAGGGCCAGGCAAAGCACACAAATCTACGTCACACCAAGACGTGGCCATGTATCAAGCACACAGACATGTTCCCATTCACGAGCTCTGGTCTGCAGAGACAGGAGCTGCGCTGGGGCCTTTCCCAGGCCACGTATGTGTCCTGTCACGGAGCCGCACCCAAAGCCTGCTCTTATGTATTAATGAGACACCTGCTGTGGCCATGTGGGTATCCAAGGCCCAGGGACAGTGCTGAACAACACAGGAGAATCCCTGTCCTTTGGGCTTATGTCACATGGGAAATGGATAAGAAAAATCAGAGACACACAAGTACATGGGTAACATGGGATAACACAAGCTGTGAGGGGCCAGAGTCACACTGTTACCTGCCTCAGCCAGGTAGCCTCACTCCACACTCTGGCAGGGCAGTACAGAGGTGGCTGCACACCAGCGGGGTCCATGACACAACCCACCCAAGGACATGCAGTGTGGCTGTGGCCCCAGACTCGAGGACAGTGTCTACCCTGAGCAGTCCCAGCCTGTCTCCCAGAGTCCCAGCCTGAGGCACCTTTGGTGTCCACATGGGCCGTGTGGTGTAGTTCTGAGCGTGTCTCCACTCCCACTCAGTGTGTCCTCAAGTCTACCTGCGGGAGTCAACGGGAAGCAGGCGCCATGGTGTGTGTGTCGGGGGTATCCAGGGGCTGCAGGAGACCCACTCAGGAAGACGCTTCGTGGGTGACTGTGAATGCTGGCTGGATATGGGGCTTTCACCCCCCATTATAACTTCATTTTTCCAGTTTTAGCAAGGTACATCTGATATACAACAAACCACAGATTTTAAGTATATGATTTGATGAGTTTTGACACACGTATATTCATGAAGCCATGACTGCATGAAGAAAATGAACACACCCATCCCACAAGAGCTTCCTGTTGCCCTTTAGGAGTCCCCACCCTCCCGCCCTTGTCCAGGTGTCCTCCTTGGGGACAGGGCAGCCTGGGTGTGAGTCCCTAATCTGCCACCTAGGAGCTAGATACCCTTGGGCAGATTATTTGTCTTTGTGAACAGACACAGTGACTGTGCCTACTTCATATGGGCTGCTGGGAGGCTGAGATTAAATTACTGTGCAATGGGGTGTGGCGGTGCGGCCCTGTGGTCCCAGGGGAGGCACCAGCCCCTGGCGCTGGGGCTGGGTGCTCGCAGCCTGGCCTAGCAGCCGCCCCCCAGCCCCGTGGCTGTTTCCTCTGCCTTCCCCTTCCCCTTCCCCCTGGCAGCACGACCCAGCCTCCCACTTCACACGCAGAGAAGGCGCATCAGGAGGGAGCTTCCTGGCCTCCCACCTCACACGGCACAGCTCCATCTGCACCGCCCTCCCAGCTGGCTGGGGTGCAGCAGCCCTGCCCCCACTCCGGCTCCCACCCCTTCTGCTTCCTCCCCATCCTGCGCCTTCCATTCATGAACCAGCTCTGCTCATGGTCTCTGTTCTAACAGCCTTCCCACCCCCAGTTACTGCCTTTTCTTTCCTAGTTCATTTTAATCATAACATGTGCCAGGGAAACCTATCTGAAATGCCACCAGCCACAGCCTTGGGGTCTGGTCTGCAGCCGGATGAGCCCCCTTCCCAGGCCCCCACAAGGAGAAATGGTGCCAGGCCCCAGCAAACTGGTCTTCCTTCCCCCTCTCCTCTGCCCTCCAACCCTGGCCTGGTACCTGTTGCCAGGGCTGTGTGCTCACAGATGTGGGCTGGGCAGCCCCACCCCTTCCCCCAGTCTCTGCTGCAGCCCCAGCTGGGTTACTGTGGGGAGACTGGGCCAGATCGGGATGCTGTCTCCCTCCAGTAGCCTCTCCCTGGCTTTGCGCAGCCGGGGGCCACCTCTTCCAAGCCTGCCAAGTGTCTGTCCCCAGAGGAGGATGAGGACCAGAGTCAGGAAAATTGAAGGGCAGCTGCGAGCACGGCCATCCTTGGTGTCCCTGTGTGCACCCCCGGGGTCCTTTCTGTAAACCCTGTGGGCTTCCCCAAGAGGTCCCACGAGCACACAGCCTCTTTGCTTTCAACGACCACCTCCCAAAGAGACACTGGGCTGCTCTCCTCACTCACAGTGATGTGTGTGGCCGCCCCACGGCTCCGAGGCAGGCGGCAGTTTCCGTGTACCTATCTCCTCAGCCTTAGCCACAGTCCATCTCTGCCTCCCCCGGAGCTGAGCTGGCCATTGTGAGCAGCTGCATGCCTTCAGCCCACAGGCCTCTGAGCTGCACCAGGCATGTGCTAGACAGGGCCAGGGGCTGGGTTTGGACCCCAGGGCCAGCCTGTCAGCAGCCCCACCCATTCCCCTACCATTCCTAAGTGACTCTAAGGCCTGCTTCACCACCTCTAGCCTGGCATCCCCAAGTCTTCCTCCTGCTGGTCCTGTAGGTGCTCTGTTGAGTACCAGGATTTGGACCTGGTATGGTCAGATAGAAATCTGCCTTAGGGACCCAGAGCCTGTGGGGCTGGAGCACAGCCAATACTCGCATCCCTTTCCTTAGTGCATTTCTTCCTCCATTGGTCGGGCAAGATGTCAACAGGAGACAAGGAACGAATCCACACACACCTGTCCCTGCTGCTGTGTCACCCCCCAGGTACACACTGCTGCTGACCCAGTTACCATGCATGTGACTTAAGAGGCACAGTAGAGAGTGACAAAGACTGCATGGGCTGCTTCGGGGCTTAGTGGCCTTGGCCTTGGCCCTACTGTGTGCCACTTCTTAGTTGTGTGACCTTGAGCAAGTCACACCACTTCTCTGGCCACCAGCTTATACATCCGGACAATGGAGAAAACAAACATACAGCCCTAGCTCCTCTATCTTACCTACTGCGGGCCGGGCAGGGTCCTAAAGACCAGCGAGCTAGCTTCATTCCACAAGGCAGGTGTCATTGTCTCTACACCATCCGTTTAGAGATGACAAAAATGAGGCACAGGAAGTCTGAATAACTTGCCTGGCATCACACAGCTGGCACTGGGACTGGTTCCAAAGTTGGTACTTAACCCACTCTGTTTTCCCAAGCCAGGATGCTAGAACATCTCACTCCGATCCCTCAGCAGCTGAGTGGGAAACCGAGGTTCAGCAGAGGGCAGAATCTCGGGGGGGCTCAGGCCTCCTCCTCAGCTCCTGCCAGGAGCTGACCTGGGTGCCAGGGACTGGCCAAGGTGCCCCACAGGCATAAAGCCGTTCTCCTGGTGGTGATGCCACACGGCAGGCATGGCAGCTCCTTCCAGATGAGAGAACATGGGGCTGCGAGTGAAGCACGACACATCTGCTTCACTGAGGGGCTGCGGAGGCCAGCTCGATCCCAATACTTGGTCAGCACTGTTCCTTGTTGCTCTGCTCCCACCGCCGCCGACTCGGCCGTGAGCTTGGCAGCATCGGGCTGGATTCTCCACTGTCCTCCCTCCCTCCAGACAGACAGCACCGCCTCTGCTCACACTCAGGCTGACTGTGCCAGCCCAGGGAACCCTTCGGGCCCTGCTCCTCACAGGTGTCCTCACTGGCCCCCAGGGAGCCCCTCCACCTTCCATCTGTGTGGCCAGGCCAAGGGCGAGGAGGGGGGTCCCTGGTCTCCATGGCAGCAGTTGTGGCTCTGCCACATGCTGGGAGGGCCACTGTGGTGGGGGAGGGTTTCCCAAGCAAGAAGCAAGACTGAACCGCCCACCACTTCCTGTTGGCAGGCGGCCTGGGCTGGGTGCCACCTGTGTGAAGCTAAACCCAACTCAGTGCCCAACTGAACTCCACGCCCACTGTGCACACACACAAGCAAACGCAGAGACACCAAGGCACGTACACATGTGCCCAGGTGACAAGTACACAACGCAAACACAGGCACAAAAGCACAGACACAAGTACAGACACACAAATGAATACCAACACACAAGCCTGTATGCGTGTGCACAGAAACAAATACACACAACCCCAAAAGCATAGATGCATGCACACACAGTATGCAGGTGCAGACATACCAATCACCGTGCAAGCAAGCAGAGAAAGAGGTACACACGTGTGCACACAAGCACAGTGTCACAAGTTGTGCAAAATTCCCTTCTCTGTGTCCTCACAAGAGCCCTGAGAAGTTGCTTGTTGTACAAGAATAGTGTAATTGAGATATAACCTACATATCATCAAACTCACCCACTGTGAGCGCAACGTTCAATGATTTTCACAACCTACAGCGCTGGGCAACCATCGCCACAACCGAGGGATGTTCTCTACTTTGTAGATAGAACAGAGCTCTAGGAGGTGGATGGTCTGCACGTGGTCACCCCACCGACGGCCAACTCTCCACCAGCCTGTGTCTCCTCTTCTAAAACACAAGGCAGCTGCTGGAAAGTGGCTGCCCAACAGGGGACCACATTCCCACCTCCTTCACATCCAGGCATGGCCAGGGGGCTTCCCCTGTGGGGACGTGAACAGAGTAATCCGTGTCACCTTCTCTGGATAGGAAAGGCCTTTTTATTTTCCGAGGTGTCAGCGTGCTGTAGAGCACTGCAAAACCCTAAGATCAGGGGCCGGGGAGATAGCTCAGGAGAATAAGCGCTTGCCTGGCAAGTGCAAGGTCCTGAGTTCAATCCCTGGTTCCGACCCTGACCCCCCCAAAAAAACCCCTAAGATTGTGGAGCTTCACAGAGGAGGACAGGTGTGGAAGGCCCTATGCTAAATGAGAACGGCCCACCCGGTCCCACAGGGCAGAAACAAGTACCTATTGTGTTAAGCTGCTGCGGAAGTGAGCTTATTTGTTACAGCAGCTGG